TATTAGTCATCAGTCGACTTTACCTGCTCAAGGGAAATTCCAGTTGTGAATGAATTATTAGAATAACCGATTTTCATTTGAACTCTGATATTTCACCAGGGGTAAAATAGATAAATAAATGGAAAAATATATTTAGGAAACTGTTCATATTGTGAAATTAGAAAAACTATCCTTCATTATTTTTGTTGTCTTTATTTGGGATCTTCACCCGACAAATGACGATGTAAGCCGTTTTAATAATGAAGAAGAGTTATCATAGTGGTAATACGTAAAAATTAAACTTCATACTCAATAGTATTTTTAGTAACGTAACAAATAGTATATATATAAAAAGTTAAACTTGTCAACTCTTTTCATAGTGAAGAAGAGTTATCGCAGTGGTAATACGTAAAATTAAACTTCATACCTAATAGTATTTTTAGTAACGTAACATATAATATATATATATATAAATTAAACTTTATCATTAGGTTACTTATCCGAACGTTCTCATGCACAAAGGAACGAGTCTAAAGTAAAATTTGGGCGAAAATTGTGCCGTTTTTTGAAGCAGATTTTTTTTCCCCATGTATGATGCACGCAGACTTAAAGATAATCTCAAGTAAACACGTTTCCGTGTACGGTAATGAGTAATAACAGGTCAGTTGATTACATGATAAAGTATTCTCAAGATGCTGGTTAGTGTTCTGTTCGAGTTTAATTCATTCACCAAGGATATGGTCTGTAATTGCACGATTAACAAATGTCGGCAGAGAATAACGGTAGCGAATTCGACGTTGAAAACATCTTAAAAGTGCTCAATCAAAGTAAGATTAATTATTTCTCTGGCCAAAGGAGAAAACTGAAGACACTTTGACGCTTCTTAAACTACCTTCTCTTTGTTATTCATAATAGAATCGCTGCATTGGGGGAGTGATATGATCGTTAACGGCATTGAAGTACATAATGAGTACAGTTTTATTCTTTGAAGAAATCAAAGAGCTTAAGTCCTGTCATTAGAACCCCCATACCATTATACCACCTCCTGTATCAGAGATAGTCAAGTACGTCACGTGGTTTCCTCCATATTCAGTTACACTTTGCTTCAACACAGAATAAAATCAAATGCTTTTCATCAAACCACTTTACACGCTTCCAGACATTCATTGTGTTCAATTTGCATTGTAAGTAACACTAAAGCCACGTTTACGTAACTGAGATAAGCGGTTTTTAGACGTGTGTTATGAAAGGTTTTCTTATGTCTTTCGCATTTGGAGGTACAGTTGGAGGTATAGTAGAATTCTGACCATTGTTGGAGAAAACGGTCAACTGTATCTAACTGACATCAACTGATGAATAAAAAGTTAATAAAATTATCAATTCTCTAAAAAAATTGAAAAGCTACAGAAAAGGATAAAATTACATCTGAACTTTTAAAACACAATATTTATAAATTAACACTAACGATAACATATTTAATTACTATGTCAATGACAAAATAATTTAAAGATGAATTATTAAAAGGAGAAATAAAAAAACGATTAAAAACAATAGGATATCACAAATTAAATGCGTGGTAAATCTAAAAATAAGAAGAATTTTTTTTAAAGTAAATTGTAGATAAAAGTGTTAGTTACTTTTGGAAGGAAGATCCAGTAGAATTAGTAAATAAATTCAATGAGTATTACACGAGAGTACTGGAAACTTGGTTGGTTGATAACTTTAGGAACTATAATCTACCTAATAAGATCTTACTTGTTAAAATAATGATTAATCCATTTTTTCTTCTGGATATATATATTTGAAACTGAGATTGAAGAAGTGATAAAGGAATTGGATTCTGGGAGAGTTGCTGGAGCAATTCATATACAAGTATTTGTAATATAAAGTATGTATCGGGAAATAAATGTAATAACGTGTTTTTTAACTGATTTATCACTCTAGATAGGCATCGTTCTGGAAATTTTAAAAATAGCTATAGTATATTCCCAAATTACCCACCTATTCCTTTTTGTCGGTATTATCTAAAATTATTCAAAAAACCTGTCAAATAAACCTTTTAAACGTTTATGACAAGTTTAACATTTTCTCTGCTTTTTTGGTTTAAAATTATGTGGGTGCTGGAAATGTAATATTAGAGTTCACTTCTATAATCCATAAAAACTTTAATTATAATTTGATACCAAAGGTGATTTTCTTAGATATGAAAATGGCTTTCGATTCAGTATCACAAAAATTGTCAATGGTAAAATTAGAAAGGGTAGGAATAAGAAGTAAAATGTTACACTTGATAGAAAGCTTTTTCTATAATTTTAAACTCAGATACTTTTAGCCAAAAAAATTTAAGTTATATCATGCAGAACAAAAAAAAAAAAAGAAATTCATCCTGAACTGGTAATATAATTCCTGCTAATTAGGATATATTTGATACGATACAGTCTTACTTCGAAACTATCACATGACCATTAACGTCATCAATATCTTTGTTAGGCCAATCGGTGTATGCGTGAAGGAATGCAACTTTACGACTTTAGGCCTAGCGTTCCAATGCAAAATAGTGCGTTGACATTTCCCGAGGTCGATCGTCTGCAACGGCCTTGACGAGTTACTAGGTGTCCCACGTAAAGGTTCACCCTTTCTTTAAAAAAAATTAAAGAATAAGCATTATTTATTAAAATATATCTAAACACTTACCAAAGGAAAGATGTGTCCGGAAAAGGATGGAGTTAACCATGTATCGAATAAATTTGTTTTTTGCTCACTAATATGTTTAATCGTACGAAACAGGGTTGATAAATTTTAGTTTAGTCTGAAAATTATATTTGGCTGCCTTTGCACGTATAAATTCGAATAATATATTTCACATTTCAGAAAGCAAGCGTCCATTTCTACTATACTTGGTGTAAATTTTTACATTGTGAGAAGTATTTTAGTTAAGATAATCAAGCTATTTTTTGCTTTTTTCACTCACTAATAACCCTCCTAAGAAACCACAAACTAAGCGCCTTTTCAAGTTTGCTTTTCAATTATAATAACGTTGTGCCTTTGTGGATTAAAATATTGTTTTTGTTAGTGCGAGATACACGACGTGGCAAACACACTGAACGAAACACTGTGTACTTGTATTATATAAACAAGTTTTATTTGATCTTTCTGTGTGTAATACAACTTCAAGAGTCAACTAGAGAAAAGGAAAGAAATCTAAGAAGAACAAATTTAATCTTACATTAAAAACGATTATTCCGACAAGAAAACACGCACTTACAATACTTCGCACAGTGTAAAATATTATGTGTGTCTTCCCCCTTGATATCGACTATTTGAGTATTTTTAATCTTGAGGGAGAATATATATCTATATATTTAATTTATTTTTCCATAGCTTCTTTGTTTGAAATTTATAGAGATCTACTGTTTCTTTTCTATTCCATTGTTTCAACGCAGAGCAATATATAGGTTATTATCACTTCGATATATCATTGTCTCATACAACCGACTTCGAATGACTAAGTACTACATATATTTCAGGTGAGGACTTTTAACAGTTCTTCAAGGTCTTTTTTTTAAAGAATACAATGCGGATACAGCCAAAGTGGGCAACACCGACCGCGGCTAGTAGCTGCGCGTTTCTCCAAACCAGCTGAATCTTAGCCAACGCAGGAAATGTAGAGACTACGTGGCCATGGGTGTTGTATAACAAATATAGTGTAAAAATCGTTGGATGCCAAAAATTGACTGGAATTCCCACTTCACAAAAATGTTTTCCCCAGTTATTTTATACAAACTATTCATCGCCAACTAGTGAATATTCGTAGTAACACTCATTTTAAACTATTTTAGTATATAACTATGCCCTACTGAAAAATGTTTCCCAAATTCATTCTTTCAAAATCTTTTGTAGTACTATTACTGTATTTAATACAGTATGTTAGTATAACAATAATGTTACTAAAGTATTATTTTATATTCAAATAGAAAATATAATAATAATGGTGAAAATCTCGCTAAATTAAAATACTTTTATTAGTGAACACGAAAATAACTTGTCATTGGCTTTCCAGTGAAAATAAAACTGTTAAATAGACAATATAAGTTCACTTTTGTTACTTGGTAGCGACATGAATGACTAAGGTCGATTTTAATCAAGTCCGTAGACGGCTCCAAGGACTTTGAAAGCTTTTCAAAATTCTAGCAAATGGAGGAGAAAAACGGCTTAGTTTCATTTCGTCATTAACTTACCCACGTTATAAGTTTAAAACAAAATATTGTGACGAAAACTAAAAATGATACAACACTGGAAAACGTATTAACGTTTTCTTCATGATGCCACAGAAGTACAGTAACTTCATTTCTTTGTAAGAACGTGCTAAGGAAAATAAAAGCTACATACTTGCAATTAGTTCAAAATATTATTGTTAACATTTTTGTTTGGGCAGTTTAAATACATTAAATGAAAGAATCGTTTGGTATGTCTATCGTATTTACTTGTACTTTGTACTATCACTATCGCTAGTAGTAGCATACAAACTTCTGCATACGTTTCCTACAAAGCCAAAATAGTACGGAGAATCATGGGTAGAATAGCCTTTACGTGTATATTTAAACGACAACTCCTTCACATTCATTGGACAATTCTGGGAAGGAAATCCGAGACCCTGTCTGGTGATTGGACATTTTTTGGCGGGTTTGGAATTCCACTTATTATAATACCACGCACGTGTTGTGACGCACTTGACAATTTACTCACCATCAAACATAGTGGTAGACCGCACAAAACGATCAAAAAAATAGTGATACATGTAATGTTAGCAAATCTGTTTCTTACAGATGAATAATCGCTGTATTATATTGTATTTTTATTAATAATTAATATCACAAATTTCTAGTACATCTATTTTGTTGGTGTTTTTTATTTCATTTCCCTTTACTTTACTTTTTTTTTGCCTGTACAAGTTCCTCCTCCAGACAGCGTAGTAATACTCTTTCGGTATATTTTATTTTACGGTCAACGTTCCCCATATTCAATTCATGCAACGTTGCCGTCGAAGTAACATTGGTGGTGTACAACTCTTATAAGTTATATAGCAAAAGTGTGCGGGAAAAATTTAAAGGTATCTTGTACACTTAGTACTGGTTATACAGTGATACTTTGATACGAAGAATGTTAGCCCGAAAGATTTCCACATTTTCTGGTGTTTTTTCTTCAGGATGTGCACATCAAAATGAAAAGGATAAGCAAGGTAGGCTAACTTCCAACTATTGTATTTATCGTTTGAACGCTTGATTGTTGGAAAGCTAACGTTCGTCTCGTTAGGTCCCTTACTAATGCTATTCAAGTTAGATATAAATAAGTAAAAGCACTGTAATAGTATTTCTTGTTCCCCAAAGTTTTATAAAAATGTCCGGCATACCACAATCAGTCGTGCAAGAGACCTATATATTATCAAATTATAAGTTGTTATTGTTTCATTTTCAACGTTCCATAACTCGTATTCCCTGTAAATTTTTTTATTTACATAGCCAAATAAATAAAAGTTCGAAAGTGTTTATCAAATCAATAACTCTTTTCTGATATACATACACATATATATTTGCTATGAAACTGATTTTTTATTTTGTTTTTTATTTTAATAGCACGCCAAGAACCGTTTGAAAAGGCATATCGTGTAGGTCCAGTCCTTGGCAAGGGTGGCTTTGGCACTGTCTATGCGGGAACAAGAGTTCGGGATAATCTGTTGGTAAGCTTTATTCACTTTAATATTTTCTGTACGAGTTTCCTTCCTAGCTCTAGCCTAATTAATACAACTTTGTAATCAATACATTTTGTAAGATAGGATGAGCTACATAGTATAATGTGTTATAACATTAAAAATTAATAATTTCACATGTTTGAAAAGCATAACGAGCCTTACAGTTTCAAATTTCAAACTTGGCACCAAAAGAAAATTTTCATTGTACTTTTGTAGTAACTTAATTAAGCTTAAATTTGATAAGTCAATTAACACTGTGCATTTCTCCGTTTTTCAGGTTGCCATAAAACACGTTTCAAAAGAGAAAGTCACCGAATGGGGACAGGTAAGCCAGTTCGAAAATTTTTTTTTCATTTTCCCTTTATCATCATTATATTCACAATGCAATTTAACTTTAACTAGGGTTAGGTCTTAAATAGTGTTTACTGTTACTGACAATACTTTTAGTTAGGCCTAATTCTTAGAATAAGTGTTTCATTTTAGCATTTAACAACACAATCTCTCTAAAGCGTTTCATTTGTTCAATATATATATATATATATTTACGTTGCACATAAATCGTTTGAGTTGACCAATAACACAAATACCATTGTGTTTCCATTTTAGATCGGAGGGAATAGGGTACCATTAGAGATCTGTCTGCTACGAAAAGTCAACAATTCATCGGGAGTGATTCGTCTGTTGGATTGGTACGAACGCCCTGATTCGTTCATAATCATCATGGAGCGTCCTGAACCAGTGAAGGATTTGTTCGACTTCATCACGGAGCGCGGTGTGTTGGAGGAAAAGTTATCCCGTTTGTTTTTTCGGCAGGTTGTTGAAACTGTGATAGCATGCCACAAGGCTGGTGTTATTCATCGCGACATTAAAGATGAGAACATTCTTGTTGATATGAAAACATTCTCTTTGAAGTTGATTGATTTCGGGTCAGGAGCTTACATGAAGGACACAGTCTACACAGATTTTGATGGTAAATATTGTGTTTGGTTTAAAATATATATATATATATATACTTATATTTTTGCTAAAATGTGTAAAACACTGCAATACAGATTTAATGATATTCTAACGGAGGAAATTTAATGGCGGCATAAAATATTGGCATTGAATTAACCTGCGTTGTGTGTGTATATTACAAAGTGGGGGGCAAGTCAATAAAACAGTAGTCGCAAGATGTTTAAGGTAGAATACCTTTCATATGATTAATGTTTTCGTATATAAATAACACTGGACTCATTACTATCTTGTTAGTATGACGATAGGGATGTGAAAAGAAGTGGTCGATTCATTATTTGAAATAGAAGGAGACAGTAGAACTATGGTGTTGCCTTCGGGGTCTCGGGTTTCATTCAAGAAAAGTAGCTAAACTAGTCCTAGCAACATATGGGTTGATTCGCCTCACCGTGGCCTCACATAAGCTTCAGTTGTGATTGGCTTAGTTATTTGACAAGCTTGAGGGCAGTGCTGGTAGGAAACCTGGTTTTTCCCCTATTGTTTCTGGATGGTTAGTTTATTTTCTGCTATTGTTCAAAGTAAGTGTATAACGGCTGCTCATGAGTTATTGTTATACATTAGTTTAATATACTTATATTAGGAGAGAATGTAATGCATGATAACGATACGCATTCTTTTGACAAAAAGCTGTTCTAAATTCTAATTTTGGCAACTGCAAGAGGCGTGGTTGAGTAACTTAAGGTAGAAAATAGCTTCCAGCTCAGGCTTACTTAATATATCCATGGTTCGTAAAGTACCTGCTCTGCCCGACCAAAATTAATCACCGCGCGCCTGGCAGGGGCCCAAGTCTGAGAATTTTGGAGGTTGACATTTAAGCTCCCCCGAGTGACTCAGAAGTTAAGGATTATGAACGCTTGGATACACGCCATCTTATAATTTTTAACAGTACTCTTTAATTAGCTAATTATGTTTTGTTTATTTAACTTAAAATTATATTTTGTATTTAACAGCTTTCCTCTTTTTCCCCCCCTACAGGAACCAGAGTTTACAGCCCACCCGAATGGATTCGTTATAATCGCTACCACGGTCGCAGCGCCACCGTGTGGTCTTTGGGAATCCTACTGTACGACATGGTGTGTGGCGATATTCCTTTCCAGCGTGATGATCAGATTCTTAGAGCCGATGTTTCTTTCCGACGTAGATTATCTGCAGGTAAACGATATTTCTAACAAACATGGCGATTAAAACTATTGTATTGCGATATTTCATTTCCTTATAAGTAGATATTCTTGCTTGAGTCATCCGTAGTCTTTGTAGATGGTCATTCATACTTAGTTACTTTAATTCTGGTAGTTTAGTGATCATTTTTATAATTATTTTGTTCTTCGTCTATTATAGAGTGCCAAGACCTGATCAGGAAGTGCTTGTCAATCCGTCCTAGTGACCGGATTTCTCTGGAAGACATCCTCGCTCATCCTTGGATGTCTGCCAAGCTTGAGAGTACCACCTCCGCCAATATTCCTGTGAGACGTAGCTCTGTTGACCAGCATTCCGTGGACGTAGCGTCCACAAGCAGTGAAGAAAGTATATGATGACCAGCAGAATCGTAGTGGTAGTGTTGGTTCCTAGAACTGAAGTGACTGAGCTTGTTCAGGGTTGTTATGGCGACAGATAACACGCCCTTCATTGTAAATAACGACATCTATTTACCGACATCGGTAAGAATCTCGTTGCCTTTCCTGTCGTCTGGCCCAAGTGAGTCGTAGGTTCTGGCCGCAGCTTTGTCCAAATGTTGGTCAGTTCCGGTGTTTGGATATATTTACAAACAATTGAGTCATCGTTGACTACTGAACTGTGTACAGTTGTTCGTGTTGGGGGTTAACTTATATTCTGTATTTAACCATTTAATGGCATATCAGGCACGAAGAGTGAAGAAGACACTAAATATGCTGTGTTTATAGTCATGTATTTATTTTTTATGGCAAGACAGTGTTGAAGTAGGTATACTTACTACAATTAACGGGTATCGGTTTTGTGCAAAGATATGCATTTTGTGAGTTGCGAAACCAAAGGTGAGGGCTAGAAGTTTGGATAACTTTTTTCCGGATATTGATATCCAGAGTGGATTGAACTGTATATTAGAATATAAAAGTTACTTTAATACACATTAATTGAATTGGTTATTTATCAAAGTTTCAGAGTAGGGAAAGAATAAAGTTATAACGTGCCAATTTTACTTGAGCCCTCAAGTATTGATTAGTCGGGAAAATATTTAAATAGACGGTCAAGTCGCTAGATAACGTAACGAGTGTATTTATATTATAAATGTATATAAATTGAAACCATGAGCCAACTTTCAGTTCCTCACTGTTTGTATATAGGTTTCTTATTTATTGACATCTGTATACAGTATGTATTACATCTTTATAACTGTGAAGAGATCCAACATTTGATCCGAAGGAACTGGCTTCCATACGAGTAGTGTCCTGAAATGTATACATATTTAAGTCTGTCTAGGGGAATCTTACAACAGATTGTTTTCCCGAGAGTTACCACTCTCCTTGCATGTAAATATAGTGTATAATATTAAAAAAGATATTTTTTTAAAAAAATGTTTCATTAACCAACAAATGTGTCCTGTTTTCTTTATTTGAATGATATTTGTTCGTAACATAAGTCGCTCAACCTGCAATTTTTTATTTACACGTAACGTATGTTGTAAAAAAAATCACGTTTCTTTTCATTACTATTTAACATGAAATGAATAAAATTATTAGGTGGCGTAACGATTTGTAATGTTCGAGGTAATTCTTATTACACAACACATAAGTAGCTTCTTCGTAATCGTCAAGCTGGCATTCCTTCAAGATATGTATGTATTCCTTACTAAGAACTGGGTGCGTAACAAGACCTGCGTCTGTGTGCGGGCATATTGCCCAAGCCATGACGTCACAGGAAGATGTGGCAAGCGTGAAAGATTCTGTACCGAAACAGAACTTAGAAGTAAAACGTATATGGCGATTTTGAGTGTTTGGTTTATATTGACTCAAGGCTTTTTATGTCGGGAATGTGGTTGACGCAAAGTTTCGTCATCAGCAGCGCGTTTCATGTGACTACCGATCACAGGATTCAACGACTCACATGGTTAACGAAAGATAATCTGGGTTTTTGAATGACTTGTAATAATAGGGGAGCTAAAAAAACGTACTGGTACAAGATACTTTGTTGATAATTTGTTACAAATAATGAAGAACTATTGTGTCTCAGTCTTCACTAACTGATATGAAACCATTATCACAATTTAGAAGAAGTTAGCTTGTTTTCCTGTATTCGTATGTGAACTGTTTGTCTTCGGTGCGAGCTTGTTTTATGACGTATATGAAATGCACTTGAACGGCCATTGATTAAGCTTTCAGAATGAGCTTATTTGATGTTCATATTTTGTTTATTCCCGCCTCCAATCAAACAAGGGACTTGTTTTATTCCGAGAATTTTATGTTACTCATGTGTGTTCCTCAACATATATTTGGTTGTATGGCACAATAGCGTAGGCTGCGTTTCGTATCTTTATTAAGTGTTGGACTTTGTGAATGATGATAAACTTTAAGGACAGTAATCGTACAAACATTTTCCAAACTAATTACACATGTTAGAAAGTTTACAAACTTAACAGAAATTGAAAACCCATATTTCGCAGCGACACGATGAACATTACTTGGTACAGTGTAATAACATTTTTAAAAGTATTCCGCTAAAAACTGGAATAACTATAAACATAAGTAATAATTTAAACAATTATTAGCTGAATAACGTTTTTAGAATTTACAAATGTAATAACATGTTGAGCGGAGTTTTCCCCCAATTACAACCGGAATTTCGAGTTAATAACAGTTATGAACCTCTGCAGTAAATCGTTATAGCTGGTATTAAAAGAATAAAAATAGCATTTCACTTAACACAATCAGAGTATTTGAAAGACAAAGCAAGTTAAACAATTGGCGAGTAATGAGAATGAGTTCAAAAGAAAAACCTAAAAATACACGGCTTCATTGTAACATCGATGCATTTTAGAGATTTTTTTTTTTTTCTAAAGAAACCAACATGATAAAAATGTTCACGTATATTCGGTATCGATACATGTAAACGACATCATTGTTTTAATGATTTGTTCTTATGAAACTTGAAACGCTTATTAATTTAAAACGTATGAGAAAAATCACGATTTGATAGAGAGTGTCAGGATCTAGAAAAAAAAATACTGAGACTTTGAGTAATCTGTGCTTCTCATAAACTGAAGAATTGTCCTTCATTATTAGTTTGTAATAGCAAACACAGATTCGGATCTGAAAATGTTATAAATCAGTTTCTATTGTTTGGCATAGAGAATTTATGGAATGTGATTTGCTTCGTTTTATCAACACGATATAAAAACATCGTGTGAACTTGATGTTACTACATGGTGTTGAAAAGTAGGTCACCTAAAATACATATTACTTTAGATGTAGCGTACTAAAATACACAGTTTCCTACATACGATTTCCACCTCGTAGTGCAAAAAATGTTTCAAAAGGAAAATTAATGTTAATCAAGGACAGTATATACGTCAGAACAGAGAAAAAAAGGTTATTATTTGCGTTTGTCAACCGCCATCTATTGGGAACTTTATTTATTACGGTAATGGTTTGTGAACATTAAGGTAATTATATTCTTGGTTTGGCCTCTTGTGTGTACCTGTATAATTGTTTCTGTTTTAATTTCGAAATATGGTTAATTGGACAGCATAGGTAGCTTATTGCGTGGCTTTGTGCTAAACCAAACAAACCATTCCAACAGCCTTTTTCAGGACAGATAATAGTTGCTGTAGAAGATCTGAAAATTTCCTAGAAGAAATAATGAACGAGAAGAATTAAAAACTACTTTAACTCCGAATTGTCAAAAAAAAAATATTGTTTTCTTCTTTTTAGAAAGTGACTTAAATAAAAGAAAGCTGTTAAGTCAATATGCCGCAACACAAGACTGACTCCAACTGATGTGTGATTTCATATACACATATATGAACATATATATATGTATATTTAAACTGCTAACACTTATTTTATCTCACTATATTCACTCCATTCCACTTTATTTATACTGATTCTTGTCGATTTTTAATGTTGTTTTTTCTAAAAAACATGAAATTTAACAAAACTGTTTAATGCTCAGATGAAGAATATTAATGTGAGCTCGCTCTTACGCCTAACAATTTTTTAATCAGTAATTGAAATTTAATGTACATTGTGGTGGTTTACAGCAACATTAGTATTGGTGTGTGTATTTATGGTTAGTAAGTTATTCAAATTGTAGATTTTGAAAATTTACACATGCACAAAAGGTTATTGTAATATATTAGAAATTATCCAATATTAAAAATTGTGACACTGAGATAACGGTGGTTAATAAAACTTTATTTGACAAATAGTAGAGATATGTAATTCTTAAAATCTACAAAAATCTTAAAATTTTGTTGAATTTCGTGCAAAGCTTCTCGAGGGTTATCTACGCTAATCATCCAAAATTTTGAAGTGGTATACTAAAGGAAAGGCAGCTAGTCAACACCGCCTACTCGTGGGCTACTCTAACTGAATAGTGGGATTTGACCGTCACTCCTTTAACGCAACAACGGCCCCATAGTGCGGAACACAAATCACAGAACCTCTGATCCACAGCTCGGACCAACTGGTGAATATTGATCTGAATACTTTAGATTGACTGATCGTATATGCCTATCCATTTGTCATTAATTCAGAATCACATTAATTTACTTCTGGTATATGTGAGAAAGTGTGTGATGTCACAAAGTGCTAAGACTACAGATAAGACACTAAATGATGTTTTTTAAAGGATATTTTTTAATTTCTGAGTGAAAAATATTTACAAAACTGGGAAGTTATATCAAACTACAAAAATTTATGGAAATATCTGATAAGGATGGTTTATCTATGTAGAACAGATCGTTGTTAAACGAAAAGAGGATCTCGTTCTCCATTAATATTCTTCAGTTGACTAACGTCATGATATGAAATCCATATGTAAAACTGGGTTTTGAATTTACAGTTTCCCTGATTTTCGAAAGTATTACTTTACAAATATTGCAACATTCGATACTGCCCTTGACGTTATCATGATATCTCATGAGATTATACGAATAATCATGGCCAGGTGGTTAGGGCGCTCGACTCGCAATCTGAGGGTCGCGGGTTCGAATCCCCGTCACACCAAACATACTCGCCCTTTCACCCGTGGGAGCGTTATAATGTTACGGTCAATCCCACTATTCGTTGGTAAAAGAGTAGCCCAAGAGTTGGCGGTGGGTGGTGATGACTAGCTGCCTTCCTTCAAGTCTTACACTGCTAAATTAGGGACGGCTAGCGCAGATAGCCCTCTTGTAGCTTTGCGCGAAATTCAAAAACAAACAAACATATACGAATAAAAATAGTTTATATTGTTATGATGTGAGCAAATTTTCATCTAAAGCATTGAAATAAGGCTGCTAACAGATATTCCAAAACTTAAAAAATATTATATTTTAAGATTTTCTAACAGAAATTCTAACTGTAAATATATATATATATATATTTAATAACGTTACGGCTAGCGCAAGTTTTCAACAAAATAGCTCAATGGCCGGATTTTGACATTAGTTAATCCAATATAGAAATGAGGTTATATTCAGGGGAGTGGTCCAGATAAAGAAGCTTCCCAATGTTTAGGTTTGAAGTGTTGGAAGATGTGAGAATTTGAAATGAGTCGATATAGGTATCACTGTATTTCCTGAAGGAAACACACACAAAAAAACGAGCCGATTCTTTTGCAACTTGGAGAATACAACGTTATCTCCTTGCACAAGTAAATATCAGAAAGCTAAAATACGTTGCACACATCCCCAGACAATGAAAGTAAATTAAGGTAATGCGTGATACAGTTCTAAAGGAATAGCTCTGTGGAAAGCAGAAACTTTAGTGAAAGAACAACCTCAAGGATTAGCTGGGGATTACAGCGGTGATGGTGATGTCTAAGAATATGTCTGAGATATCTGTGGCATTACTTTGCTATTTGAGTTACTTGACGTGTACCGTAATTCTTAATGATATAAAAATCTAAAACAAGTTTCTTCAGAACATCGTAACATTCGATATTCATCAGGAGATACCGCATGCTTTGAAACTGGCAGTCACTATATTACAATAACGTGAAACAAACACACCGAAATATGTTGTTCTAGCACACTGTAGTTTCGAAAATATCATAATGTCGATGTGGTAATTATTTTTTTATTATTTTTTTGAGTAAGTAATAATGTATAGTCGAAAATTTTTGGTCGCGAAATCAAACAAACTAATACAAATTTCATTATTCTTCAGTTTGTTTTTGGCCAGATAGTTAGGGTGCTTGACTCGCAACCTGAGGGTCGCGGGTTCGAGTCTCCGTCCCACCAAACACACTTACATCTTCCGCTTTGAGGTGCGTTATAATGTGACGGTCAATCCCACTATTCGTTGGTAAAAGAGTAGACCAAGAGATGGCGGTGGGTGGTGAT